GGAATGTTCTCTCACCCACAAAGGAACAGAATAGAATGAAATAGAACTAGCAAAATGAATCAAAATAGGAGGTGCATAAATATAATGAATAACATGGGTGGAAAATTGTATGCAATATGCATATGGGAAGCAAGATTTTGAGAAAAAAAATAAGAAATCCAGGAGGGGGTTGAAATCCGTGTATCTCCCAATCCAGAAGAGATATGGGTGGTTCCAGTGAGTGAATAGGATTTATTTTGTCCGTGGAGTCCATTTTTGAGGTTACTATTCCTTTTTATTGGATGGTTATTGGGTAAAGTCTATAATTTTGAAATTTTCCCTATGAAACACAGGAAAATAGACCACAGTGTTGGGTGACAAGAGGCCCAATATTACCATTGAATTTGACAATACAAATTATTTGAAGGAAATGCGCAAGCCATTTTGAAGTTGATTGACCTTAATGGCTGCGGATGATGTTGCTGGTTGGCAAGATTCTTGAGCTGCAGATTTGGGGTTTGAAGCAATGAGGACTCAATAATTTACATTCAGATGGTTTGGTGGAGAGCATTCATTTAAGAGGAAAATTAGATTCACACAATTAGGTGGATATTTACTTACAGATTAAAATTTTGGTGTGTGTTTTTGTACAGCCAACTCACCAATGGTTGCACCTTTTTTTCAAAAAAAAAAAAATTGGTTGAGTAAGAATGTTTTTTGAATTCAAATATCAGTCTTCTGTCAAGAGGAGCAGCCACTGTGTGAGAGGTGCTAGTTCAGTCAAGCTCTCCCATACACCGACAAAATTTGTTTTGTGCCAGAACTTTTATGTTTTTGATGATAACTTTCTATTCTTTGGGTAAAAAGTGTAGAGATGTAGGCATTATGGCAATGTTGTATATATTCTCTTATTCATTTTCATATTCATTTCCTCTCAAATCATGCACCGCATTTAACATTATAAAATCCTGTAACTGCGGCTAGCCAAGCTTTCATCATTGATTCCTTTGGGAAAATACTTGGCTACGTTGCGGAAAAATTGAACAAATTCTGAATTGATTGCTAAGAAACTAAAACCAGACTAAAGAGAAGTAAAAAAGAAAAATCAATCCAATTGAAGAGTCAAGATAAGAGGAGTTTTGCATACCACTGGATGAGATGAGAGATATAGATAAGAAGAGGACTATTTTTGAATAAAGGCAGTAGGACTGTAAAGAATCAGTCTGAGAAAGCAAAAAGGATCATGAATGAAGAAGGATCATTTATTTTGACAAGATCCCATAGAAAACAATAGAAAGAGGGAAAGAAAAGAAAAGAATGAAGAACAAACAGCGCGGTTGTCAGCCACTAAGAAATTAATATTATAAATTAATTTTTGAGCTAATTCTGTTTTTATTTCACAAAATGCATGAAATGATACAAGGAATTATCACATGGAAGGATCAGTTCCTTGGAATCCAGTGCGTCTCAAAACCTGTGAAAA